AAAATATATATATTTATCAGAATTATGGAATATAGGGAGTAGGATTGACTGGTGGGGTGCAAAGTTTCTTAGGATCAAAGGCATTGTTATCCTAATTTTCCTCATTACAAAGACAAAGCATATTCTGATGTTCATACCGTGATCCGAGTTAAAGAAGTCGAAATAGCAAGCGAGACAGACAGACAGACAGACAGACAGACAGACAGAGAGGACAGAGGAGACAGAGGAAGAGAGAGAGAGAGAGAGAAAGAGAGAGGAAGAGAAGAGAGAGAGAGAGAGAGAGAGAGAGGAGAGGACAGAGATAGTAGGAGGTGGGGGCAGGCATAAACACTTGTGTATACATATATATGCGTGTTGTTTACAAGTGTGTATGTGTCTTATATTCACATCATCAATGTATAGACTTTGATGGAGGTCAAGAGCTCTTCGAGGGAATGTTCGATTATCTCCTTACCGATATTCCTTTGCTGAGATATCGGTTCTAGTTTCCGTTTCCTCCTCTCCTCAGGACTGAACTGTAAACACTCGAGTACAGTAATGCTGCACTCACGTATCAGCATCTAATAAACAGTATAGCAGTGATGATTCACTCACATATTAGCATCTAAAGAAACAGTATAGCAGTAATGATGCAATCACGTATTATGATCTAACAAATCATATCGTAATACAAATGATACTGATAATACTGAAGAAAGCCAGCCACTCTAAGCGTCGAGTCTACCTTTGCATCCGCTGTCGCCGTCCACCGCGGAGGCTAATCAGACCGCGCAGCACCTTCAGGATATATTTCGTTTCCGATGTCACGCACGCAGCTCGCGATCTGTTTGCCAACGGAAGGCAACGTGTCTCTTTATCACCCACAGTATGCCGATAAGAATATACCCTGGAACCGATAGCGAATAAGCCGATCACCATTATTGTTAACATTTCTTTCGAGCAGGAAGGACCTCGGTGAGCCTAACCTGCGCTGCGCTGACCCAGAGGCGTTCATCAAAGTCTGAAGCGACGGCCTGGAGTTCAGTCACCTCTTCTGAAAGCAGGGAGGCGATTTCACAGCTGGTGAAGGGGTTACTTTGCACCCTGTGAGTGTAGGTTGCCTCGAAGGGACTTTTCTCGTCCACTTTTTCGACCTCGGGGTTAGACTTGGCCGTTGCAAGGTCTGCTTCCGGAATGCTTTCCTTGTCGCCGACATTAGTGCTTTCGAAGTATATTTCGTCCTCGAATTTCCTGCAGCAAACCTTCTTAATGTGAAGATCAACATTCTCTAAAACTGAGAGGAGAAGTATTCAGCTCTCAAAATGTTCTTTATAGAAGAAGAACACTAAATGTTATATATAACGAATTTAGTGGCGTTCGTAATATGACTCTATTTGAAGTTAAGGAACTACGCATCTAATAATGACGTTTTAAGTTGCATATATATAAATGCAGAACATATATGACCATCGTTAAT